ACCCTTCCCTAAAATAAATAATAATAATAATAAAAAGGCTCCTGGGAGAGGGTAACTCAAAGACCCTGTTGGGTTCATCTGTTGGGCACTTCCCAGTAGGCTGACCACATCAGACGAGGCCTGCCTGATGCCCTACATCTGTGATCACAGTGGCCCTAGAGACACAGGCTGGAGGGTCACAGTCCATAGGACCCTTCCAATCCAGGTCCCAGCAACGGACAAACACTTTTTGCACTGTGGCACCCACTGATGCCACAGGGAACCCCTCTTAGAGGAGCCGAGCCCATGTTAAGGACAAATTTGCCAGACATGACTCTAAGGAACAGGTCAGCCCAGTGAGGAGTAGGTTGTGAAGGAAGGCAGATACGCATGCATGTGAAGCATGCGCACACCACCTGCTTGTGAGTACACATATACACACCATACATGCACAGGTGTGCACACACAGGCATGTGCCATAGCTCCCCACTCACACATATATATTTTACACACTCATCTATCAGTACAGAACACGTACCCACCATACTCAACATATATATGTGAACACACATTATAGATACCACATTTGTACACATATATCCACATGTATCTGCATTTATATATATCCCACATACACACCTCACACATACACACAAAACATACACAGAATCACACAACTCAGACACACCATTGAATATACTCACACATTTATATGTAAGTGCCTTCAGCCTTGCACACCTAGGTACACCCCACACATGTACATATCCTACACCAAGTACACACCATGTACTGCATACATGTACCTGACATGCATGCATAGATCCCAGACAGAAAACACTGTAACCCTCCCAGCCTCACACCTATCTCCAGTATTTTCTCCAATTCTCTAGAGAATACTCAGAATTCATTTCCACAACTTCAGTTTTGTTTTTAGGAATTGTCTTTATTGATACATTTGTGTGCAATGTTCTGATGAGGTTTGATGAGTTGATCAGTTTTTTTTTTGTCTACAATCGTCTCACTGTCAGAATCATTCCACTATGTGGCCCACACAGATCCGAACCATGTTAAGAAGGGCTTCTATATCAGCTGTTGGTGGGCATGGCTGACGGTGGGCGTGCTGCACCCTGCCACTAGTGGTGCTGGGCCCCGCTGGGTGATCCCCGCTTTGTTCTGTGTGCCGCGCTCTCTCCAGTGTCACCACAGAGCTTTGCCTGGAGCGACTCTCAGTTTTGCCGCTTCCCTTCACCAACAGTGTTGTTATTTAGAGCAAACAGTGGGCTTGCTTCCTTCCCACCTCAGTATTCAGTTCGGGCTGGACTTGAATTCACACTAATCTTCCTGCCTCAGCCTGGAGTGCTGAGGTTACAGCGTATACCATCATGCCCAGCTTGAGGGTTTTCATTTCTTTGTTGGATAAACCTCGAGAAAACCACTTTGGTTTTTTGTTTTGTTTTGTTTTGTTTTGTTTTGTTTTGTTGTTTTGTCTTTTTGAGACAGGGTCTCACTATGTTGTTCAGGTTGGCCTTGAACTCACTTCGTAGCCCAAGCTGGCTTTGAACTCACGGTGATCCTCCTGCCTTTGCCTCCAGAGTGCTGGGATTACAGGCATGCGCCACCATGCCCGGCTGAGAAAACCACTTTGGCTTCCGGAGTCAGCCACTGTAAAATCCGCATAGCACTCAGGCAGTAATGCTGACTAAGCATGCCTGTGGCCGGTACACTGGAGAAGCAGACCCTGGCTGG